CACAGTCTGGGTCCTCATTTCACCCACCTCGGAAGGATGGAAGGCTGAGTCAACCTTGAGCCGATGAGATTAGAACCGCTGAACTGCAGATAACAATCAGCTGAAGTGGCCTGCAATACTGCACCCTAACCACTGCGCCACCTCGGCTCTTAGTATAAATATATGGGCATATTTAATTAGCAGAAATAATATAATATTAACTCTAAAGAAGAATATTTGTAGCTCAGGGATGAAATGAGGGGTCCTTGGTGCCCTCTGAGCTTGATTTTTTCCTTATAGATGTTTCATTACCCAAACTAGGTAACATCATCAGTGCTAGCACTAAACATGTTTTTGAATAAAAATAAGATGAAATATGTTAACTCAAAAATTATTTTCTTAGAGATTTTATGTACTTTGAGAAATCTTTTATAAAATACTGTATTTTCCTCCATATAAGAAAAATAATTATAGGTAGATGAGAAGTCTTCCCGAATATTTCTTTCTTGTTTTAGTGGCATACCAACTGTCCAACCAAGTGCATAATTCTTTCCAAACCAATTATAGATCTTTCAGAGAGGCATAAAACATTTGTGATAGAAAGAAGGCCTTAATAATCTAGTTTTATTTAATTATCTTGATTTCTTTATGTTTTTTATTGTTTCAACCTCGGAGTAGATTTTATAAGCAGATCAGGATCTGTTGGAATGGAGAGCCATAGCTAATTTAACCAGCTATACAATTTTACAGACTGCCATGGTATAACCCTCTCTCTGTATAAATAAAATCAGATATAAAACCTGATTCTCTCACAGAATCGATTAAGATAGAGCTACTGTTTGTTAACAAATAGGGCAATCCAATACAATGGTCCCAGTGATGAAAGTTAATGGGTTGTAACAACAATGAATTAAAAGTGGGAGACCCAAGTTCTAGTATACTCCTTTTCAGAATATTTATCCTACTAGGATAAAACTTAAAGATTCCTAGTGGATACTGAAATGAATATAAAGTTGGCATAAATGGAATTTTTGTAGCTGACAAGAATGTTGCTGTTTTTCTAAAGAAAAGGCTACTGACATCTTTAGGCTTAATCTATTCTTAACTGTCTTGATGATGAATTGCATTTATGAATTGTATTGTATTACTGATGAGTAGAGGGAGCATTTTAACTAAATATTACTTTTCTGATTGACATATAATGAATCAATATCATTACTACGATTAAACATGGGGCCATTATTACAGAGCATTTGAAAGCGTCAACTGCTTAAGAATGCAGCAGCACAAGTTTAAATGGTTACTCAGTGTATTCTACATCTCTATTTTATATGCTGAATTGCTTACCAGTGTACTTTTGAATGCAATTCAAGGTAATGGTTTAAAGTCCTTCATGACTTAGGACTGGGTTTCTTGGCAGGATGGACATGCTTCAGATTCCATCAGCTAAGGATGCTAGTCGGTGGGGCTCTGAAGATGTGTCTTTTCTGCTATAGTGCCCTCCCCCCGAACATTCTTCCTCTGGATATTAGGATAGACTCAACCTTACTGACCTTTTATAAGGCTCCGTAGATCTTTTTCTCAGGCCTGGGTATATGAAAGGATCCATCTCCTGTATATGTTAATTTTTGTTTCCTATACAATTTCCTTGGTTGCTATGGATTTTAGTTTTATATTTATTATTACTGAATACTTATTTTTCTAGAAAAATTAAATTTTTGCCTCGAAAACATGCAATATAAAATATTTCCATGATCAAGCGCCATTGTTAGTGACTTCACAAACATATTCATTTGGATTTTAGGTCAACAATACAGATTTGCCACTGAATTCTTTTGTATTTTTTAAAATTACACTTTAATACTGCCTTGAAATTGCCTAATGTTCTCGCATCCACGTACAGTTATTACTGAATCAATTTATTCCCAATTTTTCAAGATCAGCCAACTTTAGCTAAGAGTTTGCTACCTAGTTTGGAAATACATATATATACCAATATGTAATATTGTTCTGATTTAAGTAGGATATCCTTGATTCCTTTTCTTTTATGAATAATAGTAATTATTCTTACTCCTAAGCACTACTAGAGGTCAACAATGCATTGTATGCAGTCTTATATGTCTACTTGGAATGTCAGTAGTTATATAAGTCTAGAAATAGAGGCTAATTGAGTTAATTGAAGCTTCCTTGGAATAGATTTCCAAGCATGGGAATATGCTCTATCAACATAAAAAAAAATTATAGCAGGACTGAAAAGAAAAGCAATGGTAAATAAACCATGTTATTCTAGATGTTGGTTGCTCATATTAGTCAGAAATATGTACTTATGGAGGATTGGACAGATAGATACATCAGATCTGTAGACATTTCTTTCTCTACATTCTAATCACTATTTCATTGAACCACTGAAAGTCAGGTAACGTTCCAAGCTAGATGACATAATGTTTTGGCATTATTTAGAAAATACTGTCTAGCAAGACAGGAGAGCAGGAAAAATAGCAACTCTAAATATATCCACACATTGATGTTGTATAGCTTTATTTATTCAAATATTAGTTTGTAAAAATAATGTAAAAATTACTATACTAATGCTACTTAATTGAAATTTATTATATATGTACAAACAGGAAACCTCGACCTGTCTCTCAGCTGGTTGCGCAACAGGTTACCCAGCAATTTGTGTCCCCTACACAATCAAAAAAAGAAAAAAAAGACAAAGTAGAAAAAGAAAAAAGTGAAAAAGAAACTACTACCAAAAAGAACAGTCATAAGAAAACCAGGTAAAATTTATGCTGTTTGGGGTTGTTCAAAATACATAAATAAATATTAAATTATCATCTTGTAAAATTCTTAGAAAATGTTAATAAAAGCCAAATATGTTAATCAAACACAGAAAATAAATAAAATATGTGAAATCAAAAAGGAGATCTGTAAACTTTCCCGTATTGTCTATCCCTGTGGTTTTTAAATTGTGTATGTTACACAGGGACACACAAGGGTATTTTGTATTTTCAGGGAAAACATCCAATACTTAAGATCTATCAAATACTGCAGAAACTACTACCTAAATATCAGTGATGGGTTTCAAAAAATTTTCGAACCTACTCTGTGGGTGTGGCTTCCTTTGTGGGAGTGACTTGCCGGCCATGTGACCAGGTGGGAGTGGCTTGCCGGCCATGTGACCGGGTGGGAGTGGCTTGCTGGCCATGTGACCGAGTGGGGGACCTTGCAAAGAATGCAGATGAAACCAGTTTTTTTCCCCTAACCCTAAGAACAGGAAAGACAAAGCCACTGG